AAATCTGAGTAGTCAAATGATAAGAATAGCCAAGTCTGAATAGCCCAAGTTTTTCATTTTCTGAGGGAGTAAAATTATTGAAGCAATTCGAAATACATTCCACCTCCAAGCGCATTGCGACAATAGGCATAGGAAACATTTCTGGCGTACTTGCAAGAGGGAATCGGGGAATTTCAAATTTCCATCCATATGCAGAATAAAGGTTGATGCAGAAACAACAACAAACCCTTTTTTGGTATCTCAACCCATCAGCAAAGAGCAACAGAAATCAAGAAAGCCACGGTCGCAAACATTTAATTTTTTTTAAGTTTTTAATGTGCAGAGAACAAACGTAAGAATACTTGTGTTGTAGTTTTATAAATTAAAATTGTTGACCGTCTTGTTCAACAATAATCTTTTATTATTAAGGTAAACTGACCGTGAAATAAATAAGACACCTGTTGCTTTATTTTATTATTTTGTTTTTTTATCTCTCGTTCCCACGCCTCTCACACCCGCCCCTGCCGACCGAGGGAGCCACATCCCTATACGTACACACCAAAGTCCGGACTACCGAATCTACATCAGCCAGTAAATAAAATAATAAAAATAACAGACACCCACAGATTAGTAAACATAAGTTAACAAGGTACAGATTTTAAAAATCGCTGCTCATTGGCTGTGTCTACTGTACCGCAAAGGGAAATGTAGATCAAGTGCCAGATGATCAAGCAGCTTAGTAATTTATAACAGAATTTCAATCTACCGTTTACAACTATTACTCAAAGGCGAGTTCTACTAGTTTCGCTTGGGGAGATGTAGATAAGATGCCGTAAAATGAGTTTGGAGAATTAAGAACAAAGACATGAAACAATTAACGAATACTCATTAAACAAACAAAATTACATGTGTAGAATATAGTTGTTTATTGTATTTAATGGATTACTTAAGCAAATAGTGTTAAATAAACTGTTATAAATAACACAAAGCGACCTCATAGGGTTGTTAAGCTCATAGTTAGTTCTCGCAAACGATAATTTTAAGGGTTCGAAATTACGAGTTCTGCGAGAAGGAACATTATGGTATATTTCACCTATAAGAAATGGAGAATCAATGAGACCGCGTACTGATTTAATGATAAATAGAGCTCTTAACATAAAACGTCTTCTGTCAAGTGATGGAAGGTTAATTAACAATAACCGACTCTCATAAGGAGGAAGAGGTTCGGAAACGTTCCAGTTTTAACCATGTAAAGCGAAAATTAAAAACTGAATTTGTATTGATTCAATTTTATCAGAGTAAAATTTATAAAATGGACTCCACAATGTACAGCCATATTCTACTACTGGACGCACTAAGCTAACAAATAATCTTTTAGTTACGTAAGGGTCATCAGACTCTTTAGACCAGCGCTTGATGAATCCTAGTAAAGATTTCGCTTTATTAACACAAGAATCAATATGCAAATGAAACCGAAGCTTAAGATCTAATATTACGCCCAAATCAACGAACGAATCAACATTATCCAATTTGTGGGAGCCAATAAAGTAATTAGATAATAAAGGTTGGGATCGATAGAAAGACAACTTCTTGCATTTTTTTTAGATTAATGGTCATACCATTTGCACTACACCAGTTTACGAGTGAGTATAAATCATATTGTAAAGAGATTTGATCGCTAAGTGAATTTGTGTGAAGAAAAAGCGTGCATTAAAATTTTAGAAAAACGAACTACGTTTGGAAGGTCATTTAGGTAAAGAACAAACAGTAATGGGCCCAAGTGACTTCCCTGGGGTACACCAGATGAAACAATGATATTCTTCGAAGAGACATCATTAAAAATAACTCTTTGTGTACGATTATTTAAGTAGGAGGATATCCAGTTTAAAAGTGATGTTGGGAAACCCATTAAGCCTAGTTTTTGAAGCAAGAGCTTATGAACTACCGCATCAAAAGCTTTGCTAAAATCAGTGTAAATAACGTCTGTCTGTTGCTTATTCACAAAACCTTTTTGAACTTGACAAACAAATTCTAATAGATTAGTAATTGTAGATCTACCTTTCATGAAACCGTGTTGACAAGGTGAAATTATGCTTTTTATGTAGTGTAATATTCTTCGTGATACCAAAAGCTCGAAGAGTTTAGGAATGGCGCTTAATTTAGCGATACACCTATAATTATTGATGACCTCCTATTTCCTGTTTTATGCAGGGGAATAACAAAGCTCGATCGCCAATAGCATGGGAAATATCCTTTAGATAGGGAGAGATTAAAAATTTTAGTGAGTGGTACAGAAATTTCACTAGCGCAAGATTTTAAAATGTGCGTTGGAACGCCGTCAGGGCCTGGAGAGAATGAGGAGCGTAGTGTTCTTAACACATAGAAAACTTCGTCATCTGTCAGGATGATACGGGGAAAATGATTTAATTTCTTCTGTGTATAAGAAGATTGAAAAAACTCAGCAAATAAATTAGAAATCACTAAGTTGTTAGAAGATTCACTACTACCAAGTTTCATACTACTGGGAAATTTATGTGCCTTCCTTTTGGAATTTACAAATTTAAAAAAGTTTTTGGTTTTATGTAGCAGGTTTGTTTAATTTTTATTAACATTGGGAATAACATTTGCAGTTTTCAGAGTTATATCTACTCCTTGCGGAAGAATACTTTGAATAGTTCAATGCAGTATTCGACATTTTAAATTTTTTGAATAATCTGCTTTTCAAATTACGTAAACGTCTCAGTGAAGGGGTAAACCAAGCAGGACCCTGATCTAAATTTTGTTTTACTATAGGTACAGAACAAGATAATGCAAATTTAAGTTGCTCATAAAATTTTGAGACACATAAGTCAATGACATCTCTCACATGCCATATAGTGTTAGATAAAATAGAGCGCAGTTTAATAAGGTTTGTTTTCCCAAAGTTACGCCTACCAATAGAAGCATTAACAGCATCTAGAAATCGAAATATTCAATGAAGACCAAAAAATAAAGTCTAACAACCTGTCTTTAACATTTAATACATGGTTTACTTGGTACAGACAAAGCTCAAATATCTTATCCCAAAAGTTATCAAAACCTGTTGGGTAAGTTAGAGGTATGTAATCTAGAATATTGTCACCTGAGGTCCAAGATACCCAAGGAAGGCTAAAATCCCCTAAACAAATTAATGCAGAATTATCTGTAAGCAACGAAGACACCTTAGCAAATAAATCTGCATGGTTAAGATAAATTTCAAGTTCAGAATTAGGTGAAATATATGAACAAGTTAAGAAAATGGTACTACCAATGATATTTAATTTTGCGCAGATAAATTCGATATTAGGATCCGCTGAGCCATCAATCATTTCTGAAGGAATCGAGTTATAAATTGCTATTAGAACTCCACCTTTCTTCGATAATCTATCTTTTCTGTAGACTTGATAATTATCAGAGAATAACTCAGTGTCCAGGACATCAGGTTTTAACCACGTTTCAGTGAAAGCAATTATTTTATATTCAGAAAAGAAGCTTTTAAGGAAAATATATCTAAGCTTATTGTTTAATCCTCTTACATTCTGATAAAGAATCAGTTACGACGTTTACATACTTATCTACATTGGAGCGTTCTCTAAAAACAAATTCTTTTACCAATATATCACCGGGCCAAAACGAACTACTAACAACAGTGTTAAAAATTAAAAGATGTTTAAATCATTATCGCTTACCTTAGATTTCATTAACTTAACTTAGATTTCATATAATTACGGATATTAACGATAGAAGTTTCAGGATGAAGTCTGGATATAAAAACTGTTTTGCGACTTGCGACAACAACAAGCTGATTAGAAGTTGATGGATCATCAACATTTACAGCAGCCGAAGGGTTTGGAGGGGCTTGCACCACAATTGCAGGTGGGTTAGAAAATGTTCTTTTGGAAGTCGTACAATTCGAGATTGAGGTTATAGCGTTGGAAGTAACATCCGAGTCTTTACGATTATCATGAGAAACTAGTTTATTACTATTAGGAGGAGGATTTGGCGAAATCGGAGAATTTAAGGTGATTAAATTATCGAGACCTAAATTGTTTGTTTCGATATTGCTAACAACGCCTGAAGCTTTTTTCCTCTTTGGAGAACCATCAGATAATTCAAACCTGTTAACCAATTTTTCAATTTTTTCAAATTTTTTAAAATTTAAATTAAAACTTTCTTTTAACTTATCGATTTCAGCCTTAGTTTCTTTAAAAAAGCAATGATAATCAATTTGAAGATCTCTACAATCAAAACAAGACCAACGTAGACCTTTAGTCTTGTAAGTAATAAAATCATACTGTCTACCATTAAAACCAGCACATTTAAGATGCGTAAAATTATCGCAAATAAAACAAGAAATAAGACGCTCATTGATGTCTCTAACTGAACAGTCTTTGAAAGAGGAAGCCATTTTTGTAAAATAATTAATTAGATTAAAATACCAGTTAAATAATTTTTTATATGAAATAAGAAGGTAAACTGTGTAATGTGAACACGGTGTAATAACCAATATACTATTAGTGCCTAAAAGTATGCTAAAAATCTATTATTACATACAGAACTGCTAAAGAGGATTCAGCTACAAACGTGAACACAAACAAAAACACGATGAAAATAAAACAAAAATGAAAGCACAAAATAAAACAAAACTCTGATGTTTTGCGCGGAAAATATTAAATAAACTTATTAAGCAGGAAAAAACATTTTATTCACAGAAACTTCACACTTTTGGAAAAAAATAACTAGTGTTAATTTAAATATCACAATTTAATACTTTTTTTGACGCTTTAAACACACAAAAAATGAATTTTTATTTCGTTAGACGAAGACACAGAAAATAAACACTTTTACCATCATATGCCCGTTTATTCTTGCTGTATGTAACATTAATGAATGTTGGTCGACAAGAATGATGGGTGAGAGTCATTTGTGACAATCAATCAACGTCTGAGACTTACAGCTAGTTACTATTAACGTAATGTAATTAACAGCCTGTTCCACGATGTCGAAAGAACACGTTCGCACAACTTTTACACGTCAAACAGCTGATTTCCGTTCCACTAAAATCCATCAGAACGAAAATTTGCACGAAAATCAAAGCGAACGAAAACGTAAGCGTTTCAGTGTAATTTTGCGTTCCACTATCTTTTTTCTTTCGTACGCATGCGAACACAAATGTCAAAATCAGTCACTTGTGTGTTTGCTGTCGAATGATAAAAATTAAGGAAAATTGTTTTAACATAAACATTCCTTGATTGAAAATGGAAAGAAAAATGTAAGTAAAAATAATAAATGCAATTTAATCTGTGAACAACAAATATACATTTTTTTATTTTCTCAATTCCAGCACGAAAAAACTACACAGCTGCGGGCACTAGTTGAGTATATGGGGGAGAATCCTAAATTCGGCAGAGGAGTGCCAATTTTTGGAAGCAGCAGGCAATCCCATGAAGACCACTGGAAGACACAAACCTAGAAAAAATCATTTTTTTATTATTTCAAAAATGTAAAAATACAATCATACTTACTGGTTGTTAGGTACTTCAAATAAATTCGAAGCATCTCTTAAA